CCCCAAAACCCCAAAACCCCAAAACCCCAAAACCCCATGAGTGGGAATATAAGACTGGTGAAGGTAAGTAAATTTAAATTCAAATTAGTAAATTAATCAGTATATAAAATCGTTTAATGTCTTATCGATCAATAATAGAGAGCCTGATCTATGTGGATCAATTTCGAAACATAGATCTCTTTCAGTAAGGGTTTTACTTTGTTAAAATATTATTCTATTATGAAAAAGATGATCTTGTAAGTATATCTACCTAGAAATAGTTTTTCTAATCAGCAATATATAGAGAGTATTTGCAAACCCGTACTCGTGTTATAAGGCAGCTTAAAAGTCTGCAATGAATAATAGCAAAAGCTAAAGCACTCTTAATAGCAAACCTGCCAATAAGTATCATAATCTAAGAAATTCTGAGCTCAATAACGCTGACAACTCATATCATACTAATATTTACTACATAAGGTATGCAGAAGAAAAGGTAACTTGACATTAAAATAGCTTAATCTAGAGATAATTCTAACATTGAATGTCTCAATAGCCTTTTCTCCATTTTAACGAATATATATTCAAATTACTTTTGACTTTAGGTTGAAATCGGGGATTGCATAAATTTCAGGACAGAACTAGAAAATCTTAATATGATAAGAAAGCATTAAGAGGAATATTAATTTTACTTGAGATTGGAACTGATGTTTCACGAGGCCTCAGATGAGGACATTAAAAACCCTAGGCATATAAAACTAGATACATCATCTGAAGGGATGAAAAGGTTTGCTTGTATTTCGACCAGAATATTTAAGATTAATAATGTTATCAATGGACTCAATGAATACTTTCCAATTCAATTCGATTCTTTGCATTTCTCAACGATAACAATTACATTTCATTCAGCACTAATCGATTACAAGTTCAGAAGATAAATCCTAAATGATTTTAAAGATGGTGAGATGTCTTACAAGACTTTAGAAACAGGAATTAAGGTTGTAAGATTGAAGTCCCATTAAAAAAAGGCTAGACAGCTAAAGAAAAAGAAGAAGTATTTGAATCTTACTGAATTCCTATTCGCCGATGACAAAGACGATGATGATCAAGTGGGATATATTCCCATAGAGATAGAATCAATGGAAGTAGAAAAAATTCATTAGATTTATATACAAAACTTAATCAATCAACATGAATATCTAAAAAAGCAATACAAGAAATACATAAAGTAATTACCTTATGAAATTATCACGACTTTGAAAGAAGACAAAGATAGTAAGTTCTAAATAGATCCTCCTAAGCTTATTATAACTCATGAGGCTTAACTTACGAACAGAGAGTCTCTATCTCCGCATAAAAATTAGCTTAACTGCTCCAATTTGTTTCAGAAATTAAACACAACACTTGTCAATAAGACTAAGTAAAAAATAGAAATAAGTCATACTAGCACAAAGTCTTTTTAACAATCCTGCAATGCTACTCCCATTAACTAGAAAATGTAACAACCTCATTAAAGGATGCAGAATTTGTAGCCAACCAAGGTGTTTCTGTATAATCCATAAAACTAGTATCCAAGCAATAAGCTGTCTAGTTAATCTGGGCTTAAGGTTAATAATTTGGAGAATCTATGCACCAAGTAAAAACTTGATAGAATCACTGATGAAAATGATGAGAAGTTCAGATCAATTTATCAGTCTTAATTTAGAGAGTCAAATATTATAAGACGCAAAGAAGAAAGCAGGGAAAGAGATGTGTTGTTTGAAATTGTACATGATGTTCAACCAGTTGAGAGTTAAGAGAGTCTCGAAATTTCAAATATATTGGAGGAAAGACCAATGGCTAACTAGTATAATATAAAAGCATCATTTATTGGAAAATCATCTCCAGGTTGTTCATTTATTTAGTCTCCTTCTGCTAAAATATTAAGTAATAACTTCTTCGATGATGAACCACTATGTGAAGCATTTGATGCCCTGCCAGAACCACTCACGAAGACTGTTAGTAATAAGGATCTACATTCAAATTTTGATTAAATGACAAAAGACACCCGTACCCCAAATAACCTACCCCCAGTCTCAAGATTAATGTCAACAAAGAAGTATATTCCAAATAAAGAGAATAGACTAAGCTACAAGCAGAAATTCAGTTTCGTTTAAAATTATAGCAATAAAATGCTAACTACGAATTAAAATATGTAGAATTAGAAGGCAACAACAGCAAAGCCACCTGTTCCAGATAAGATTTAATATCTAGGTATAAAATCTATTACTCCCAATGCTAAATCTTCTTAAACTTAGTAGTATAGATCTCATTCTCAAAACATTCCATTTTCTCCTCCTAAAGCCAAAGGAGATGATCAGCAATTGTATAATGCCAATGAAATCAGTAACTAATCCATAAATTTCTCTGAAAAGAAAAAGAATCAAGGGCTAAGCATACCAGCAATACAGGTTCATTAAAGAAGCTAGCATACGATCAACTCAAACTAAAGCTATTTCCAAATATTTCTTCAATCCATCAACGGTTACTATGAGCCACATAGAATAACTAAGATAATAGATAGCGAAGTCAGATAGATTTCAGTCTAAATATTCTAAATTTGGCATAAGCTTATCAATATATATTGTTGTGATCCAAAGTCTGTTAATTTTAAGCTGAGAGCTAACTATCTCAATTAAGTCTTTGATAAAGTAAGCCAAATTATTATCAAGAATGATTAAACAATTGATAATCTATTGGCAAGCCAATCCTCAACAGATAGTAACAGAACTATTAAGAAATCTAATAATTCAATAAATGAGATTAAGCAATTACAGGTCTCATAAGGAGCTTTAAAATTTATATAATCGCAAGGCTTGAGTACTCAGAGATCTTAGATTATAAAGTAAACTCATCCAAAATAAACCTAAAATAACGGTGCCTAAAATGTAATGTCATTTAAGCACAAAACCAGCCATCAAACAGTTAGCTGTGTACTATAGAAATAGAATTTTAAAAGTTAGATTAATAGTAATAGTGTGAGCACTTTCAAAAGAAATTATAGCTCTAATCTTACGATTGAGGATAATTTTGACTTGCCAAACAGTCCTTCTAAAATATCAAGAAATTAGAATGTTATCGATGATGTGAGAAAGAAGTAGACCTACAAGTTTAAGAAGGAGAAAAATAGTGTTGTGATATTTGAAGATTGCTAAAAATAGTTTAGGCATGAGTATGAACCTCTAATTGTGGAGGAAAAATACAGCAAGAAAGGAGAATTTTATGATAAATCTTTGTCAAGACCATCAAGTCAGATAAGTGGGTGTAGTGATAAGCTGTAGAAAACAATGATCACAGATCTTTTCAAAAATCTAGTGGTTAAAGACGATAAATCACAAATTTAAGTTCGATAAGCTAGAGGTTAACATCTATTTGTATTTGTTCATGGATTTCAAGCCAGTTCCTATGATATGAGAACTATAAAAAATTATGTATCTGTACTTCTCCCAAAAGCATTTTGTCTCTGCTCAAGTTCAAATGAAAATATGACTGAGGGATCTATAGAGACAATGGGCTAAAATCTAGCAGCAGAGGTCAAGAAATTTATTAAGGAATGGTGCTATTCAAGAGATGGAAAGACTCTATATCTATAAAAGCTATCTTTCATAGGGCATTCCTTGGGTGGCCTAATCATAAGAAGTTCATTACCTCTCTTAGAAGAATTCAAAGAATATATGCATGGCTTCATGAGCTTAGGATCGCCACATCTAGGTTATATGTATAATACAAATTCACTGATAGACGCTGGAATGTGGGTTCTTAAGAGACTAAAGAAATCTTAATGTCTCTAGTAATTATCAATGACTGACCAAAACTTGAAGAACAACACTTTCTTGTATAAGTTGTCAAAATTCACAGGAATAGGTTGGTTTAAGTAAGTAGTCTTCTGCAGCTCTTATCAAGATAACTATGCACCTCACGACTCGGCAAGAGTCTAAATTTGTTCCAGAGCTGCCAGGACTGATAAAGAAAAAGGTAATATGTATATCAAAATGGCTTAGAACATTCTTGACCAGCTGAGGTGTGACTAGCTTTACAGACTAGACATTAATTTCAAGATTGACGAGAAAAACCTGGATTCAATGATAGGCAGAACAGCACATATTCTGCTTATGGAATGCGAGCCATTTATTGAAGCTTTAGTAAATAGATACAAAGACTTTTTCTGCGAATGAAACATTATTTGAAATTAGTTATGTTCAAAGTTAATATTCAGTTTATTCTATCTGTTTCATATGTAGGGGTTTTGGGGTTTTGGGGTTTTGGGG